ACTTGGGGTAACCTGCTGTGTGCCAGAGTGCACGTGGCACAGGTGTTCCCTGGGGACAAGTAGCAGCAGCACAAGATGAACCGCTGTTACTTGTCCCCAGGGAAACAAATGCCCACGCTCATGTGGACACAGCCAGTGGGTTAGTGCTACTCCACCAGAGGCAGGCCTCCTAATGCAACACCCTCTCCACCTCAAATAGGTTGTGAAGTGTGGAGAAAAGCACAAGCCCAAGTGCTTTGCTGCCCCCAAGTAGGGATTTGGGACTAGCACACTCTTCTGGGGAACAAAGGAATCCTGCATCTTCTGGGTTTCACAACCACCACAACTACTCTGCTCTTCTCCCAGCATACTTCTTTGTCCCAGTTGTCATTTATAAACAAACAAACAACAGTAATACTTGAAGCATGTCCTTCTCCACCCTCCTGACCTTTGGTTTCTATTGCAGATTTCCCCTGTGGTATGTGTAACTTTTATGCAAATATTAAGGATTCACATTTTCAGAAAACCTGAACTTCACTAACTTAATAACAACACTGTTACAGCAAGGTTTGTTGTTTTTTTATCTAATTTACTTTCCCTACTGTTTATGCTAAAGGGGAATGTTGATTTTTTTTTTAATGTTTTTAATTCTGTTTATCTGGAAGTTTAAAAAAGCAGTCATGGTGGTCTTACGTTTTGTAGAAGCTTGTTCAGATAACTTAAATCCAGAGCCAAAATTGGTACCTTTTAAGCCCTGAAGCCAAAATAAATCTGGTGTTATCTCCACTAGCTGGTGGAGTTGTACCCACTTATACCAACAATGAATTTGAAGTCAATAGAGTTACACCCTGGATAAATTCAGCCCTCTGGGTTCCAATAATAGATAATTCAACATAGAATAATGCCTGCTAGAAACAGAAGCTGATTGGCTTTGGCAATCAATAAGTATTTTAACTTAACCCACCAGAAAAATACCTATCCACATGTTTTTGTTATAAAGTGAACACTGATGTGGCTGAATGCAAAAATAGATCTGGTTAAAATCATGACCAGGACTGGATTAAAGTAATTTGGGGCTATAGATGAATTATATGACCCAGGGAACCAATGCCCTTTTTCCATTTAGACTTCTGTGAGATCTTCTACCTTAGAAGCATAGCCACTGCTAAGTCCCACCTTGGAGCTTCCCATTCCCTACAGGAAGGAAGGAATTAAAGCAAGGATCCCCAGCATATTAGTAAGTGGAATACATCTTCTTGTATGCGTGAGACAAGCCCATTTGTACTCTTTTCCTTGTGCTACGCTGACTCCTCTACCGTGATGGTGTCACCAGGACCTCTAGAACAGACCGTCTCAGAGCTAACGCCCATTTTGACATACAAGGCGCGTCTACATGAGATGCTTACTGTGCAGTAGCGGTGTGCAAAATAGGCCCTATTCAATTCGGATTTGGATTCAGCCTGAATCAGGAACAGTGATTCAATTAGTTGATTCGGATCACTGTCCCTGATTTGATTCGGCTGAATCCAAATCTGAAGATTCGATGCTGGTTTGGAGAATAGACACAGCTTTGAATCCTTTTTCTACATACCTTGAGGCACCAGGCGTGGCTCGTGAATGCTGCAATGTTAGGGCAGATGGAGCTTCCCACAGGAGCATGGGCCCACCCCCCCACATGCTCAGCGGTGAACCTGGAAGTGGACCGGGGGTCCAGAAGCACTTCCAGTTCACTTCCAGGTCCACTGGGAAGTGCACCAGGGGACTCCTTCCACCCCTCCCAGCTCAGCGATCAGCTGCGGGGGGACCCCAGGTGCCCCCCCCAGACCCAGAAGGCATCAGTTGTTGAGCCGGGGGGGAGGGCGCGTTCCCTGGTGGACCCAGACGTGAACCAGAAGTGCTTCTGGTTCACTTCCGGGTCTGCTGCTGAGCTCACTGGGGATCTCCCTGCACTCCTGTGGGACGCTTCATGTGCTCCACCATCGCAGCATTCACGAGCCTTCTGGTACCTCGAGGTATGTAGAAAAAACATTTAAAGCTGTATCTATGGCTGACTTGTCAAATCTTTCCAAATCTCTCCGAATCAATTCGGAGCGTTCTGATTTGATTTGAAGAAATTAACAGGTCTCCTGATTCAATTCAGATTCAGAGATTTGGCTACCAAATCGGGCCAGATCTCCACCAAATCAAATCAGCAACTGAAGCTTCACACCGTCCTACTGTGTACCGTTCAAAAACCGTGCTAATAACTTACTGTACAGTGTTATTAGGCTACTGTGCAGTGAGCATCACAAATAACCATGTGCCGGCACTACTGCACAGTAAATGTAGTTACTGTGCATTCAGTTAGTATTTTATTAAAGAAGTACTAAACTAAATGTGCAGTAACTACTGTGCATTAATGAACATGTAGATGCACTCACTGGGTACTTCACATCTCTCTGAGGCATTTTTTCAGGCCCTTTCCAGATTCAAGCAGACATCAGTTACATCAAAGTCACTTTTTCTTTTCTTTCTTTTTTTTTTTCCATGTCCAGGGCAGATAAGAAATTTTGTTTTGGTGAAGGAAATCCAGGTAAAGAAAGCTTAGATTCATCATGTCTCCCAGATGCAGTTTATGTACAGAACTATCATGCCTATGACTTAACCAGTCCTGACTATAACAAATAATAATGGGTCTGATCTTGCTTTCATTGCACTTTCAACTCTGCCATCAACTTCAGAATACATCTGAGTGCATGAGGAATGAGGGATCAGATCTAGAGTTTGAAGTTATGCATCCTAAAATAGAGGGTAATCACACCTTATATGTCAGGGTTTAAACTGACTGTCACAGTGCCTGGAAGGGATTCTACTTCCTGGCATAATTGTCCAAGTGCTCTGAAGAGCTTCCATTTTAATGAAGCATTAAGTATAAGTTACTGCCAGACACAAGGTCCTGGACTGCGAAGAACAATGCTGTATTTCTATATAGCAAATATTCCTAAATTCAAATACACTGTATTATTTCTATATACCACATTAATTAATACACTCTGTTTTATACACATAACTGCTTTATTTTATTTTTCTGACACACAGGGGAAGAGATAACAGAAAGATGTACTGGTTTTTATTTTAAACAGAGTATATTCTATATATTATCCTCTCAAGCAATTGAATAAATATCACAGGCTTTATAGATCTAGTAGCCTTTCCAGTGAACAACGCAGCAGTCATGCTTCACAGAAAAGGGATAACATCCTAGAGTGCAGCTGATAAGAGCAACAATTTACAAAGCAAGAGATCTGTTATGCAGTGAAAGCTTTATTACCATGACTTGATGTTACATCTACAACACATAAGGGTTAATCATTGCAGCAGTTTGCAGCTGGTTTGTGCTCTCAGGGGAGTCATAGCAATAGACTTCTGTGTGTAAGACAAGGTCAGCTTTCCTATCCCTGGGTCAGCGGGTCATGTGATAACAGAACTCTGAAACTTAGACTCCTAAGAGACACAGGTGCCAAACCCATTTTGTGGTCTGTTGTAGAGTTCTTCCTGTGGTTTTTATTCTACTACATAAAAACACATACATAGCTCTGTGGTATATAATTGGATGGAGAGTTTTCAGAGCTACCCATCAGTGTAAGTTTTCTGTGGCAGCAGTGGGTTCATAAGATTGCTGGGTACATGTAACATTTCACGGGAGACTTGTTCTTAGTGGACTGAGACAGCACAGCACTAGGTGCTGAGAATAATGGCCAAAGCTCATGTGAATTGTTCAAAGGGTCTCAACGGTTTCAAGGAGACTGCTCTGTCCAGCAGGACTGGACCCTAATATTTTATTAATATTTATCTCCTATTGCTGCAACAGAAAAAAAATCAAATAAGCAAAACTTTAATCCTCAAATGCAACTGTAATCTTCAGATTGGTTAGGCTTATCAAAGAGCTAATATTTATTTTCAAAGACAGGCTGCTAGGAATGATCAGCCAAAATGGAAACCTATAAGTGAAGGGTTGTAAGTTTATTGGACAGTATTGTCTATATTTATAGTTTCTGCTTAACCCATATTTCTGTTTTTATATGCATGTGTCAAAAATTAATATATGGCAAACTTCACCAACAGTTTTAAGAGATCTTAAAATATAATAAAATCAATAAATGATGTTCTGGCATAAATGTTTCTGTAGCTGAGGGTGGTCAGGTTCAAAGGGCAAGTTCTGACCATTTCTCTTTCCCGCCCTGCTGTTGGAGTAAGACCCTCCCCTCAACTTCAAATCACTAGGGAGAGGGTAATTTAAGCTATACTTGATGTAACCTATACATCACTGTCTCCTGCACCAGCTTTAAAATTAAACTCTGATGTACAAAGTTAAACAAAAATGAGATAAAAATTGGCAGGGGTTGAAGAGGGTCAAAGTAGTCAAAACACAAGGTAGACTATTGCTTCTTTTGATTTATGTTATTCTGTACACTAAAAAAAAATAAAATTATAACTCTCACTGAGACCTTTTTTTCATTGAGAATAACACATTCCTAATTTGTTTTCTATAGACTTACTGTACCTTTGATCTGAGAGATGAAGAAATGTAATTTTTTTGTGGGGGAAGGACCTGAGGGGGCATGTCTTTAGTTGCAGACAGAATACTACAATTTCAAAAATATATATTCTTTGTAACATAAAGAGCAATTGAAAGTAATCACTGCATATTTTTGGTTAGATTATAATTGACACTACATCAATACATTTGTCCAGATTTGAGACTTTTTAAAAAACAAAGATCATACTACCCATATACCACAACCTCACTATATAGCAGTGTCCTGTGAATGTTACCTTTTGCATTTTATACATACCCACCTTCCAGTTTCCCACTAGCACTGCAGCACAGAAAAAGCAGCCAAACAGAGAGATCCTTTAAAACTGATTCAAGGAAGTCCTTGCAAGAAGTGATGAATTTCTGACGCTGTAAGCAGGGCATCTACATCTTGACAGACTTAAGAGTGAGTGTGTAGACTGCAAGCAAAGTCATTTGGGATTGTAATCCTTCTTCTCAATAATATGACAATGAAATCAAATACACTCCAATGGAAATCAAATAAAATAGTTCTACACCAATCCAGTGGGGGATAAAAGAGTTCTACTGACTAATTTACTACACTAATGAGAAAATGAAGAGTCCAGGCTTTAAAAAACCAGCGCACAATTTTGAAATGCTGATCTATATGTTAAAACACAGTAGTTACTTTTTTAAGGTTTGTTGTCTTCTGAAAGCAGAGCTGAGGGCCAATTAAGCATAGTAGTTATGCAGGTGCTTAATGTTCAGCATGTGAACATAACTTAATTTCAGTTGGATTAGTAGCAAGTTAAAGTTAGGGACTTAAGTAACCACTTGAATATGGCCTTATATGCAAGGAAGATCAATATGTTTTACAAATACCTTAAGTATGTCCAATGTAGTTTAATAAACTTACAAGGATCCTGGTTTTTGTTATTTTGAAAGTACAATTTCATTAAAGCTTTAACAATAAAGATGAAGATAATTTAGCTGACGACTATTTGCCATTTCATGTGAAGAGTTTATTTTTAGTACATTTTTATAAAGAAAGCCTAAGCTGCACCTAAGCAAAATACACTTTGTTTATGAGACCATCCATGATAGGTCTTCACAGACATGCTTAACAGATACATTTTGGCAAACAATGGATATGATAAAAGATCGAAAAACATAATATCCACAAACACATAGTATTTGTTGAATGTTAAAAAATCCAAGTAACCTAATCAAGCTTGCCTGTGCTACTAAACAAGGAAAAGGCATATTTTGGGGGGGCAGGAGTTTGGTTGCTTTTTGTTGTTGTTTGTTTGCTTGCTTTTTTGAGGAGTGAATGCTTAAGGAGTGAATTATCTATTCTTACCAGGTTTCTATTTCGCTGTATCATTGAAAATTCTTCATTCAGGTTTTCAGATGCACAGCTCCATTTTGTTGTGCAGTATAAAGAGAATATGGTTAGCAAGGGTGATGTCCAGGGATCTGGGTTTTCCTTTCACTACAGAAAAATGCAGTAAAACCCAGATTTTCTCATTTTAAGGGAAACGTGGGAAATGGTGGGTTTCCCCTTGCAGGCTGGTGGGAGGGAGGAGGGTGTTCAGGCAGGGATGCCATGTGCAGCCTGGAGAGCAGCTTCCCACAGGTAAGTGTGCTGGCAGAGGTGGGTGGGATTGGGGCCTCCATAGTGAGGGAGGGAGGGAGGAAGGAAGTTGGGCAGGGTTGGGGCTGAGGTTGCTGCCCAGCTGAGGCAGTGCATGGGGTTGGGGACCAGGGCCAGGAACAGAATGGAGCCATGGGCGGCTCATCCGGCGGGTGAAGGGGGAAGCACGTGGCTGGCTCCCCGCTGCTGCACACACTCCTGGGGGAGGGCATGGTGGGCACGTACCCCCAGATTTGTGTGAGGGTGGGCACAGGCTGCCCACTGCAGGCTTGAGCTCCCCACCCAACTGCCTTCCCCCTGTGGCTTCCACAACCTAATGTGCAGGACCTGGTGGGGCAGGGCAGAGCAGGACTGGGTGGGGAAGCTCATTGCTGCTGGTTGCTCCATGCCACCGTGACAAGGTGGCCCCTGCCCACTCAGCAGCAGTCTGGGAAGCACAGAGTTGTGCCCCCTGCCAGATGGGCAGAGGACACCTCACCATGGCAGTGTAGAGCTCTCAGTGGCAGCAACAAGCTTCCCTGCCTGGTCCCACCCACTGGACTGCAGAGGCCCAGCGGGGAGGGCAGCAAGGTGGAGAGCCCTGAGCCTGCAGCAGGCAGCCCACATCTGTTCCCCCCAACAAGCTCCACTCTGGCTGTGCCACTCATGGGGTGGAGGAGTCGGGCTCCACACTCTGCTGCAGCAGCTGCCACCTCCCATAGGCAACAGCCAGGACTTGGGTGCTGCTGCAGGGCACAGGGGGCTGTAGACCCAGGTCCTGGCCCTGTAGCCCTGGCAACTGGGGGCCTCTGGCAGAGCTATGGGGGGCTGGGGGCTATGGGTGGGGAATGAGGGACATTGGCAATGGGCAGGGCTCTGGCACAAGGAGGGGGGGAGCCACAGCTGGATCTGCGTCCTGGTAAGTGAAGGGGGCAGGGAGTGCTCTGATTTTCCATGATAAAAACCCCAAATCAAACACCTAAATGTATAGGTATTTTGAATTTATTTTATTATAGTGATTGAGGCACTGGTAGGTTTCCAAATGGCTTTAAAATTGTAAATATATCAATAAAACAGAGTTCAACTGATACCTATATATATAGTGGCACTGCTTTTTTGTCATGGAAAAAAATACATTTTGGAGTTTGAAATCAGAGAATTTGTGTTTTTATCAGAAAAATCGCAATTTTTAAACAGAGAAAACCAGGATGCCTGGTGATGTCTTTGCTGATTTACCCTTGCAACAATTAGGAGTTCTTCCTTGGGCAAATGTGTGGAATGGAAAATGGACTGATCGATTCTTTGTTGTACCAAGTAGCTGATTACAAGTAATTGATTCATTTTACAACTCCTGTACCGTGTGTAGTGCTGTGTAGTATTCTTCTAGACTAGGATGTGTCAGGGATGCTTTAACATGCCTATTCACTAGGGGCCTGATTCAAAACTCATTAAAAATTGGTGGACAGATTTTCACCGACTTCAGTGGGCTTTGAATCAGGCCCTTGCTGTACATCTGACTCTGAAGCTGAGATATTTTAATTTCAATACAATTATCAGTATGAGCTTCTCAGTTAATTTCACTGCCTTATATTGTAGATTCTTAGTACAAAGTAGCTGTATAGAGTGAAATTCACCCCTGCGTAGATTGCCAGCACAAGGCCTATGCACTATTTAAGTGCTAATTAAGCTTCAAGCCCATTTATCACCAACATACACAGCTTGCCAGAATTATACATCTGAATGTACTTCAACCTCCTAGCCTAGCTGAATGACTGCACAGCACAGCCACACCCTGCTCCACACACTGGTACAGAACTGAGTCTATAATACAAGTACTCTAAGAATTAGTATTCACTGGGAGTGAAGTTCACAGTGTACAGAGCTACAGCAAAAGGCCTACGCACCATTTAAATCCAATTTATACTCCAGGGCACCTTTGATCTGAATTGTGCCCTGTTTTATTAAATTACGATAGAAAGACTGTCATATCAGGTATCCTGAAGCTGATGACCCTAGCGTGAAAGCCCACTCTAGAATAATCATTTACGCTAGTAGTATATTTGATTTCAATAGGATGACAGGCGAATATAGACTACTTGCCTAACCAGGGTTTGTAGGATCAGGCATGTTACATAAACCAAATGACTTCCAAATATCCATCTAGTGCAGCAAAGAGCTGCTCCCTTCAGTGACTGTTGGGAGGGTGAATGAAGGGCAGCGTAGTGCCATTAGTAACTTGCAGTTTAATACTGTTCTTGAACGGCTGGCAACTAAGTTTATTTTTGTAGATTTCCAGCGAATCAACTTCAGCCATGCCCTTCCATTATATACTTCTCCTCCGTTCTTTCTTGCTTTGCTGTCCTCTTCCCTTGCCCTCACCCTACAGCTCATAATTCTCCCTCTGTCTTTAAATGCTTGTTCTTTAAAACATCCAAGTCTTCATGAAAGGTGCTCAACTATTAGGCAGGAAGATGCAAATCCCCCACCAAACTGGGGCAGGTGCTGCAGAGTGGCCGGCATCTCTACACTACCCCACCAATGTGCCTTGCTTCTGCTCCAAAGGGCTCAGGTCAGTCTCCATGCTCATTTACTCTTCATATGTCCCAGTTTAGCTGGGATGCTCCCAGATTTCAGAGGCCAGTCTCAGCTGGCTGTTAAGAATTATAATGGAAATGCAGGGGCATGGGCCGCAGCCTGGCTAAAAGTCAGAGCAGCGTGGAGCACCTTTCAGGAGGGCAGGTAGGCAGGCACTGCTGATTTGTGTGAGCGTGGGGGAAGCAGGGGCAGTGTCCCAGATTTCCCTATGGCCAGCCTAATTCTTTGGCTTCTCTGATCAAGGATGACACTAAGGGAACTTTGGTCTGCTAAATGCCTGATGATTAGGGATTTTCATTTCACATAGGCCAAGAAAACAGCGTAGAGACATCAGCTTTTGGACAAACTGGATCTGAGGCAGTTTTCTAAAAGGGAAATATCTCCATATCCATTAAAAGAGACCTACCTAATTCACGGAGGCTGCCTCTGTATTTCATGGTCCTGGTGTGGCTTTGAGCACCATTTTTACTGCAAAGCACAGAGCGCGCCTCCCCTCCCTCCTGGCTCTGAATGGCCAAGGGGCCTCAGAAGTCCCTCCCCTCCCTGGAGATTGACAGATGGCCCCCTTCTTCCTCCTTCCATGCTCCAGGATGCCAGGGCTTTCTACCTTTTCTGGCTGCAGCTGCCTTCCTCCCTCCCTTCCCTCCACTGGCTTGCTGCTGTTTTCCCACTTTTTTATGGTCCCCATGCTTTTTGATGGGGACCAGAACTTTTTATGGGGGACCTCTAAATTTGTTGTTTCTGTGAAAACTGCAAAATCATGAATTTGGTAGTTCCTTACCTATTAGCAACCCCATAAACATCTCTTGTTCTCTTTTTCTTTGCCCAGTTGTCTTTCTTGCACCAGGTTACCCGGCTCTGTGGGCAAGATCCAGGTTGCAGGCCATGTGTTTGATACCCCTGCCTTAGGCAACACAGTAATGACCAGTGATTACTATCTAAAAAATGTATGAACCCAGAATTAATTTATTCCCCAGGACCAGAGAAGCTCTGACTAGCGAAAATATTTATGGGTTACACATGTTGATGGGTATAAATATTTTATCTACCATTAAAATACTAGGCCCGAAACACCATAGTTTATTTCCAGAGACACTCTTAAGTGCAGTTTTGTGCAACTCACGTTATGAAGAATCATATAAACTGCACAAATTGAAATGAGTCTAATTTAAACATTTTGTAGTGTTCTAGAGTGAGAATACATTTGTTCCTCATGGTCTTCTACCTCAGCCTCAGTGGCTTGGACTTCATGGATGTGTTTCAGAAATACTGCAAGTGAAATAAGAATGTCCTAGTTTCTACAGGCTTCCTTTCATTGCAGTGTAAAGCAGTAAAAGCAAAAGCAGTTTGCTAAGAATCCTTCTGTAGCAGGCCCTTGAACAAGATGACTGTTTCTAATAAGCAACAGCTGTCGTTGTAGTTTTACTAGTCAAGTGATTCATGTCTTTTACTCAGAAATGATAAGTGGAACAAATGTTTACTTAGATGTATAACAGAGGAACAATTGAAAAATACTAGACTGTCAAATAGAAATATTTTCCTGTTATCTGACCTTTAACAATTAGTCTGAACTAGTCATATGATGTTAATTGGTAGGCTTATATATATTTTTGAGTCAAGAATCAGGGCTCTGAATAAAATAGAGCACCAGAGGGTTCAGTACATATGGGTTAGTGAGGGTATCCAGTCACTGGTTCACAGGACTTGGCAGTGGACCTGCAGGCTCTCTTGGGTTTCTATACAGATCTGAACGACCCAGAACTACCCATCAAAGCTGCTTTCGCTTGATCTCATTTCCGCTGGGACCTTGGGGACCTCCCTTCTGCCTTCAGAAATCATTAGGATACTCTTCTGTTTCATTGTCTTTGAGAAAAAAGACATGTGTGGTCTATTGTCTCTCCAAGACCTTACATTGTTTTCTAAGGAGAGCAGATTCAGTGAGGAAGAACATCCCTGTCATACTGTAGCAGATCTGGGGCTCTGTTCAGTGGCAAAAAAACTTCATAATCCCTACTACATTATTTTCAAAAACCTCAATAGCTACCTGATTAGAACCTGAAGCATCTGCACCTCCAAGCTGAACCTAGAAGCTGTTTTACTTCTGCTGCTGCATTGTGAAGGTAGGAGGTGAATCACTGGTCAGGCAGCCTGTAACGATCCTGCAAGAAATACCGAGCGACTGGCACCTCAAACGCTAGGAGGATGGAATGTGAGTAGGGCAAAGAATGGTAAACAGACAGAACGTAGAAGCTGTTGCTCTTGGAGTAGGTCACAAAGTGTGGACTCTTGAGCTTATGCTGATCTTTTCCAATAAAACAATGCTTGAACCCAATCAGGTTTTTGAAAGGTTCCATATGTGTTGCCCTAATGATGAACTGGGATTGGTCAGTGAACAGTTTTCAGATCCAGACAGGGCCAGATTATGACAGGGTGGGGCCATAAGCTAGGGGTTCCCAACCTTTCTATGCCATGGCCCAGCAAACTGCAGACCACTGTGCGGAGCCCCACGGCCAGATTTTCCAGCGGAACAAAGGTAAACTACCTCCACCCCCGGGCAAAGCCTCAACCGCGGCTGCCATGGGCCCTACGGGAGGAGCTGTGGCCTCTCTGCCTGGCTCTGTGAGGCCGCAGTTTGTCGGGCCGCAGTCAATTCTGGCCTGGGGGTTGTCTTAGAGGCCTCTCGTAATGTGAGGCCCTAAGCTGCAGCTTTCTTAGCTTGTGCCTAAATACAGCACTGGATCCAGATCTTGATTTGCTTTCCCTGGGTAGGTACAGATGTTCAGGAAGGTTAGGAGGAAGATGAAGTTAGGGGGAGATTAGATGGAGTTAAAAATGGCCACCCAATCTAAGGTAAGTTGGCATGGGGGCTGCTGGGAGGGCTTCGGGGGCAAGTGGGGTCTGCAGAGGGGTTGAGGGATTGGCAAGGCTTTAGGGATGAGCAGGGGGTTTGTGGGGGGGGGTGTTATCCTGCTCCAGACCAGGGGCTATTTTTAATTCCTGACCCCGCCCCCCCCATCAGGCCCTAGATGAACCACCACCCTCAATGAACCAACTCCCTCTGATCTTGTATGCCCCTCCCCCTACCATGACTTACTTCCTTGGCTCCTGGCACTGGGAGCAGCTGGAAGGATGGGGTGTTTGGTGGGTGTTTGGGAGGCTCGGGGTTGGGGGGATGGAGGTTGTCCATCTGGGAGTGGGGTGAGAGATCAGGGAGCTAAAAATAGCCTGCTGCCAGGGGCAGTGGTAGGAAAAGCCCAGCCCCAGGGATGGGGCTAGCAGCTGGGCCTGCCCAGCCCTGGGGCTGTGTTCAGAAATGTACAGAAGTTCAGTTAGATCAGTCTTACCAAACCCAATCTAAGTTAGGTTACGTCTGAGGTAGTTAACTGTAATCAGGTCAGATATATTTAGACTGATCTAACCTTTCTCAACTTCTGTACAGTTCATGATTAGATCCACCTCACTAGGGATCAAAGTGTAAGGTCCACACCTGGGTGAACTAAGTTAGATTGGGTGGCCATTTTTAATGCAGTCTAACCTCCACCTAACCTCCCCATGTCTATATGTACCCCCTGTGTGCTCAGTCTAGGCTTGAGTTTGATGACACTGAAATCTCACAGCCTGAAGATAGCCGACATCTCACAAGATAAAATATTTTCCTGTTATATTGGTCTACAACTGAATCAGATCTGAAAAACAAGCTTCTGTCCCTTTGGGATCTGACAAAAATAAATACGCAAGCTTGTATTTAGGGGGTTAAATTCAATCCCCAACTGCTTTTCAAATTCTGGAGTTCAAATTTTATGAATTAATGCAATCATTAGAAAAAGGGCAAGGAGATATCTAAATACATCCCTTTGTTTCTGAAAACTTGAAAGTATTATAGACTTTATAGAGAATTTTCCCCAACCTCTTAAAGTTTAAAGATCATCTATTTACATCTGAGCTTTCTTTCCATCTGCTTTTATTACTAGAAAAACACAACCAGGTTGAAATTCCCTATATTATCTTAAATGAAATCAGCTGGACTTTTTTTCCAATTTGCCTCCGGCTTTAGTGAAAAATCTTATCAGAATACTAGTACGGTAAAGCAGGCTCCCCTTTATGAAAACATTTTTGTTTTTAGTAATAATTCCTGTTTCATCTGTGGAAAACACAAAGTGTGGTACATTGGAGTTGGATATATAGCTTGGATTCAGAAACTGAAATTGCAAATTTATCATACAATGCTCTTTTCCTTTTATACTTAATTCATGTCAATATTGCTTATTAATGATTTTATATGTATACACGCATGACATTCTTCACACACAATATTTAGTAGGCATGTAAAAAAATGTGTCTATGACAAGAGAGAAAAATAGGGACTGTAATTCTTTAATGTTTAAGAAAACCGGCCCAGTTGTAAACTTTGAGGGAAGTCTTGTTTTCAGATTAAATTAATCATATTTCTATTAAAACTGTCAATCAATAAACCTTAAAAATCAGCATTCAGGAAAGGCAATTCTGATAGGAGTAATAATTCATTTTTTACGATTCACTCTTTTGTGGGCGGAAGGATGGTCTTGTAATTAAGGCCCTGGGCTCCGGAGAGTTGGGTTCATTTTCTGGCCCTGCCAAAGACTTCCCATGTGATCTCAAGCAAGTCTCTCAGAAGGAGATTTTTAAAGGCACAAAGGGCAGGTACATTCTGTTGAGTTACCAGGTATTCGATGTGTGTATGCCTTTGAAAACTCACCCCTTAATTGCAGCACCTTGATTTCTCACCTGTAAAGTGAAGGCAGTATGTTCTCGTTCTCCCACTCTTTATTTGTCTTATTCAGACTGCAAGCTTTTTCACGCTAAACTTGCTTTTTGTTGCGTCTCTTTCTCACCCAAGAGTATCCTAATCTCACTTAGAGCCTATGGCACTACCAAAATAGAGATAAATAGTTTAACCTGCACCCCCCCCCCCCAAAAAAAAAAAAAAACC